AGGTACGCCTTTTACTCGTCAACCTCACTAATCCTCTTTTACCATCCTCTCGATCGTATAGAGGATAGTGCATTCTTTTGAAATTGGATATCGTCCGAGATACCCTGATGTCGCGTGCTCATGGCGGTACTGACACCAGCTAGGAGTGTCCTCTTGTGCAAGCTCTCAACCAGCACAAGGCAGCCTCGAACCCGACTACGTCCTCCCTCACCTCCCAGATCTTCGCCTTCCTGTTCCCTGGAAGCCCTGCAGTCAATGCCCTGCTAGCGACGCTCTACATCTCGGGCCCACCAAACTTCCTCCTCGCACTATGCCCGCCCAACATCGACCCCTCCTCGCTCTCCGTCATGGTCGCGTTCGCTGTAGGCGGACTGCTGGGTGATACCCTCTTTCACCTGCTCCCTGAGATCTTCCTGGGCGAGGAAGAGCACGACTCGGTCAAGTTCGTCATGGTCGAACCCAACAAGAACCTGTTGCTGGGCGTAGCTATCATGGTCGGCTTCATCACCTTCGTGGCCATGGACAAGGGGCTTCGAATTGCGACAGGAGGCCAGGGCGGACACGACCACTCGCATGGGCACTCGCACGACAAAATTGAGGCTTCCGCGAAGACAACAGGCGTCGACGTCGGCAGCTCAAAAGATGGTGTGCGCTCCAGGAAATCTGGCACAAACGGCACATCGTCTGTCGTAGAGACAGCAGAGAAAGAGATCAACGCCAGTGTCAAGCTTGGTGGTTACCTCAACCTCATTGCAGACTTCACCCACAACATCACCGACGGTCTGGCCCTTAGCTCCTCATTCTACGCCTCGCCTACGATTGGTGCTACTACGACTGTGGCTGTCTTCTTCCATGAGATCCCCCACGAGGTCGGCGACTTCGCTCTCCTCATACAGTCTGGCTTTAGCAAGCGAGCCGCTATGGGGGCTCAATTCGTTACCGCCGTCGGCGCTTTCTTAGGAACTTGCATTGGCATTGCTGTCCAAGAATTTGGAGGCAGCTCCGCCTCTGCTGACATCCAAGGTCCTGGCATTATGGGCACTAGTCTGCAATGGGGTGACATGCTACTACCATTTACTGCTGGTACTTTCCTCTATGTTGGCACTGTTGCTGTTATTCCTGAACTCCTCGAGACCGGTCCGAACAAAGGCCAAGAGCTCAGGAAGACTCTGATGCAATTTGCCGCCATGTTCACTGGCGCCGGTATCATGTTGTAGTAAGTTTCGCCATCCCTTGTTGTGGTTTAATGCTGACTCCCGTAGCATTTCATGGAATTAGATTCTCTCATGAGTAGGTAGCTTGGCGGTCGCTCCGAGAATTTCCGTTCTCAGACTGCCGTAGCTCTCACCATTGTTTATTAGACGATCTGCGAGGTTGGCATGCATGGCGCAATTTCAAACCGATAGAGCTTAGAATTTGACCTCGACAACGCACGGCGGGCATAAGCCGGCGCCGATCAAACTCGTATCTTGTAAATGCGCCAGAGTTGCCAACGTGTAATCCCAGTGGCGCCTTTCAGTCTGGCAAACTTCCCCTTCTGGGCGCATCGTGAGATCAGCGTTGCTCTTCAGTACACCAACTCTTCTGCGAACTCATCTCAACGTCGCATGCTCCCTTCAGTCTTTTTCACAAATACTCAGTCTAGGCCTTGCTCATAACTCATATTACGGCGCAATATCAACGACTCATTGGAAACGAACTCTACCACCACGTAGGTTTGGCACACATGTATCAAATTCTACTCACCATCACTATGACGCATTTAGAGTACTTCTCGCAAAAGGTAGCCGGAATCGGCTGCTTACACAAAAGGCCCGTGTGTGTTCCCTCCAAGATTGTAGTGCTGACGGGCTACGTATCTTCAGCTCCGAACATTGCACGACTGAACACGCCCAGGGCCCAAACTTCCCCGGATTACGGGCTTGTCCCCCCAAAGGTTACTCCCGCCGCAGTGGTCGTGGCTGTGCGTTGTGAGATATGTCTTTGCCCAAAACTGATCAGTGCACAGTTTCAGCTCGCGCTTATCTTACATAACCACACAAGGCAGTCAGCGGCACGTTCATTTGGGGGTGTTCGTCGTGCGATTAGGCGTAGTTATGCTTGCATGAACGACGCTCGATTGGCTAGCTGATTCATCTTCTGCACAATTGGGGTAAGGCGTGCAACGAGTGATCTTGGAGCATACCAGTTTGGTCACTAAGCCACACTTGCACACTAGCGTTGCCGCCTTACCGTCTTGACGAGCGCGAAGTGGCTGCCGAGTAACCGCCGCCTCTGTCATACATATGGGCCGCATGGTTGTCATGCCGCTGTCAGACTTATAATGTGCTAGATCCCACATTTCTCCTTGACTGACTTCTCGTTCTCCAGTGTTTGGAGTGTTGGTACTACGACGACTAGCGAATCGCGACTATACTTGTGTACAAAAGGCACAGGCATCCGGCCTGCACTTGAGATCTATCTATTAGACTTCACGACGTGATGAAAGAGTTGGCGTGCGACAGGAAGATCATTTCGCAGACCGAAATGCACACGACTGCCCGACCCCAATGCAGATATACGCCACGATACCGAGCGATCCTACCCACACTCCTGATCCTGCTATGCATACCGATCTTCTTCTACCAACTAGTACCGAAATATACACACGCCACCGACGACTTCATATCATCTCTCACGAACACGCTTCGCCCACAATCGACGAGTACCTTTTGCACAAAAGAAGTCGGAACGCCGCACTGCTGTGCCGTATACCTCGCCGCCGCACCCTGCCTGGACGAATGCAGGAAACAACGCATGGACCGCGAAACTCTCTCTGTAACAGCACAATATGAAAGTTGCGCAGACGAATGCTTGGTCGAATACCAAGAGACATGCAAGAAGGCGGAACATCCACAAACATCCCTCAAGTCGTCACAACATGATTGAGCTATCCACATCAACAAAATGCAAACAATTATTTACACGAACACCTTCATCATCCTGTACAACGACACAAATATCACCCCCCGCATGCATGCTCCAAAGAAAGATGAGCCAAGAGGCTGGAACATTGAAGAGGCGGTGCAGGGCGGGTACGCCAAGACTGAGGCGCAGGGGATGACCGGCTAGAACGGCACTGCACGGCCACTCATGAGCTCAGTGGTCTCATGAACCGCGGCCGAGGGAGAAAGGGAACCTCATCTCAGTAATCTTGTGTTTCAGGCCATCACGTTGCTGGGACGTCGAGAGGTGGGGGCTGGGTTACTGCGGTGATGAGATATAGGGTGATGCACTGGCATGAGCGGGAAATGGACTTGAGGAAGCAAAAGGAAGAACGTGGCTTGACACATTGCTAGAAATCCATGCCAGAGAAGAGATTGGACAGATATAGGCATATACATCACCTTTCATATGTAACAATACAGCACACGAGCTGCGAAAATCGAATACGTCTGCTCAGCAGAGGACATAGAAGAATACCAACATCACATATACTCAACAACCTGCCTATGTTTACGCCTCGGATTTTGGACTCTGCATCTCCACAGCTCTCCCGTTCTGCAATTTCCCATATTGTAATTAGCAAGTATCTTAGGTCTTCGGCGTCGCCATAAAGATCGTGATGAGATTTGGGATGAAGGTCCTGGTAACTGTTCAATGCCATACACATACGAGTAAGGCATGATATCCAATACCCCGCCGAGATAGATCCGAGAAGTTAGCGATGCCATGAAAAACACGTTCTGTAATAGTGTTCAATGCTTAACCTTCCCGCGGACCTCGGGAGGAGGCAGCGCGTCTTTTTCGCGCTTAGTGCCATTCTTAGCGCGTGACGTCAGGGTTTACTGCAACACCACCTCTCATCATCGCTTCACGCTGTCTCTGCATCAACATTCATTGATACGGCGTCAATACATCACCACCTAGCATTATCAGCATGACTAGATCATGCCGTTAGCAAGTCAAGGGCGCGCCTTCCGCGTGTGGTGACGCCTGCCCCAAATGCGCTCACCGTCAGGCCTCGCTTTAGACATACGACAGCACAGCGGTATGACTAACGAGAGTCTGCGCATCTTGGACTGTCGCTAGCAGAAATTCAATCGTGGAAAACCCTGAGAATATCTTCTTGCTCATTACGATCGGTGTTGCAGTCTTGGTTTCCACGCAAGCCAATGGGCACGCTCACTATCGGTTCAAGCACACGATGCCGAGCATGAACTGGACAGAATGCATCACCGCTAATATCACTCAGACTGGGATAAGGTATAATATGCTACGTTCGTGTAAAATTAAGATTAAAGGTTCACACCTAGCCGTGTTGGAGGTATTACCAGAGTTCTACCCTGGGTTGAATAGCGGTCACGGATGTCGGAGATGTAGCGGGTATGGTCATTTCACTTGTAAGTCATGCGTATCTTCAAGATGAATATTCGGATACTAAATCGCGCTATAAGGACAGTATGAGAGTCTGATCTCTACGGCAACTCTTCAATTTGTCATTATGTGGCTATAGTAAGTTCGCAGTTCGTAATGCAACGGTCCGTCGTGCTGAATGCTCTCTCTCAATACTGAGACTCAGGTTTTAAGCAAGACTGTCATTGGGTCTATGCAAGTTCGGAGACCTTTCTCTCACCGTTGTGAACTTCACGTTCTACCAGCATTAATTTTGCAGCCTCACCTGGCATTTCAAGGCGCTCAATTTTGACTGCGCACGCTGCCCTAGCTCCAACTTCACCTGCGTAACTAGCTGACTGTTACACACAAAGATACGGCACTTGAGTGACACCTACATTACCCGGGTCGCGCGCTCACCGTTCATCTGCGCTACGCTCCTCACAAATCCGCCCAATAAGACAACTTCGGTGCCTTTTCACCACTCATCGTTCACCATTCACAATCATCATCGTTATCATCATCATGAAGACTAACGCTACAGCCTCTGGCAAGATGCCAAAGAGGGCACCTCTTGTCCCCAAACTCCAAGTTCCAAACACACCGCACCCCACGCACTCGCAACGATGGACCCTCCCCTCTGCGGCAGTTGCGACAATTTTCTCGCAGAAGTCGACATGCAGAAGACTACCGGAAGATACTGGGTGAACTGCAAGAGATGCCGGGACGAGCACACAGCGGCAAGGCGAAAGCGCCGAGCACAAGAAGCCTTTGACGATGAATTCATCGACTATGACTATTTCGATTACGTCGAAGGCAGATATAGAGAACTTTCGCAAGAGACTGAGTACCGCTACCCGAGCACGGCGCAGTTCGCCGGCTCCAGACCCCAACTTGAGCCTGAGACGCGCGTTGTTCAGCATCCGAGCGCGGCCATTAAGAAAGAACCTAGACTGGGTAACGAGACACACGTAACTGTTAAGAAAGAGAGGGAGAAAGATGTCAGTGGCCCGGACGTTGCTCAAGAAGAGTGGTACGATGCCTTGGAGGAGCCGAAGCTCAGCTTACGTGAGTGTTCGGTATGCGGAGATTCCTCGCCTGTTCAAGACTATCCAAGCTTAATGGCTTGTGAGCACATCCCCGATGTCTGTCAAGAGTGTTTCATCCAGTGGCTGGATCAGCAGATGCAAGGATCGGAACGAGCGTCCTGTCCGTCCAGTGGATGCACCAACGCCATCACCCACGACGACGTGCAGAGATACGCTTCTCGAGAGATGTATACGCGGTTCGACGAGCTCTCTATGCGACGTCTTCTCGGTGAGGAACCTGGCTTCATGTATTGTCTGGCCAAAGGATGCACTTCTGGCCAGATCCACGACACCGGTGTTGAAGGTCCAATCTTTCGTTGCGCCGCCTGCGACTTCCGAATGTGCACGGCTCATCCGACACCAGTACCCTTCCACGAACATGAGTCTTGTGCGCAGTATATCAAGCGCATCGAAGATGAAGCTTCGAATACAAGGAAGAAACGTGAGGATGACGCCAGCGCTGCCGAAGTGAAGCGAGCATGTATCCAGTGTCCAAAGTGCGGGGTCAACATACAGAAGAACAACGGTTGCGACCACATGACGTGTAAGTACCAACCACCCAGATGTTGTTTGTTCAATTACTAACCTAAGCAGGTCGGCATAAGCGATGCAGGTTCCAATTCTGCTACATCTGTCGCGCACCTTATCAAGGTGCTCAAGGCATCAACATCATTGGGAACACAGCGCATCAGCGTCACTGCCGTTATCATTCATCTAGGCTCCCTGGCTACGCTAGAAATCGCTGATCGAGTTTCGGAACGTCGTCTGGCTTTTGTATGTGTGGAGGCTTTCAAGCTTGCACGCAAGAGATCCAAGCCTGATAGTTCATATGGAATGATGGCTGCGTGAAGAATGCGAAGAATATGGGTCGGTCATGGAGATTCATCTTGAGACTTTAGTTCCGCGCTGCAGTCTGACATGAACGAGATGAATAGCTTTTGGCCTTAAGGGTTCGCGCGAGGCTGGTCTGACGTTGCGTGACTTTACTATATGGGAGGCAAATGCTTCACGCACGGTTGTTCTTGCCACTAGCACGTTGAAAAAAAGAGTGTATTGATTTTCATTGTCTGCAGTCGTGTCTCGCTCTCCCTTTGCATACATATACTTGATTGCACACTCTTCAACCGCATCATTAGCAGAGGGTCTCTACTGCTTGAAATGACCGACACAGTCTAGCAAGATGGCTGCAGGACTCTGGCCAGCGAATCACCTCGCGAGCGCACTTACGAGAAGACCAAAAGCAACACTTGCGAACCCGTCAAGCCACCCAGATATTGGACTTCTTTCAAATCCATATCATCTACGCATGCAAGCCTCTCGACCAACTTTGTACCGTGTGTGTGTGTGTAGATACGCGCCCATTGGAAGACTTCCTCCGCCCACGGGAGTATGAGCATGACCCTGACGCATGTAGAGATTACATCGGCAAATGGCTAAACATCAAACGGAGAAGCACGGAGAACACTCATATTCCCTGTCCTTCTACGGGGTAATCTGCGGTGTTTGCATATGAAGATGCCTGTGACTTCGCGGTCGCCGTACTGTTCAATCCGGGAGCCTTTGCCTTTTCGCTTCTATGCGAGTATTAGTATGTGTAGCTACGATAAACTGACGCTTCAAAATTTTCTCCACAACCAGCCCGACTTCCGCTTTGCGTTCGGTCAGAGTATCCTGTTGGCCAGCTACATGAGGCGGAAGATAGCAGCATCTTGGCCTGCGCAACATGTAGCCATCGTAGTTGCGTAAACCACAGCATTTCTTACGGTGGACTATGCGAACAGTACGACGCTAAAAAGGCCTACAAAAATAAGGAACTCTTGGATATGAGTAAGACTACTACAGATTTCGACAAAGAGACGAAGAAGTTTCCCAGCTGCGAAACAAATCTCATTTCGAGGAGGGCAGAAGTATAATGCAACTGGTACGAGAAGCGCAGCGGCAAAATGAGCGGAAAAACTGCGTCTGCCCAGTGTCTGTCGAGTACTCCGATCCCTTTTCTCAGATTGGCATGAGCACGCCATCCCCGAACGACTAGGTATACGATGAGTCTTCCTCCTGATTTACGGCAGCTGATGGCACCATCGTGACTGTATCTATAACTGTACATATAGTATCACTCTTCGATATAATCGGTGGGAGGCTCATAGGCCACTGGGTGAACCTCGTCATTGTCTGCCTCACCGTTCAATACCGTGCCTAGCGAATCGACTGTATCTCGCGCGCAATATAACCAACTATGATGACAGGGAGTCAGAGCGTAGCACAAAAGGGACAGCAAGCGTTCATGGCGCACGTGTATGATATGCTCAAAAACATGCATCATCCACGTGTCACTCACACTGAGAGATATGTTGCATGCTTATCGCTGACTCTCAGCAGTATGACAGCTTTCTGAACGCAGGAACGGGAAACCAACATGTATTCAAGTCGCACGATCGACGTGCTCATACCTTTGACTGATCATGATCAACACATTCATCGGTCTCTCACTAGAGTCAACAGTTATTTCGTGGAGTCATGCTGGGTATAAAACGGAGGCGCATCAACACCAGTATAGATGCACAACAACAATCTTCAGTATACCATTACTTCCGTCTACTTCACAGATATATCCTTCAAAACAGCTATTCAACCGAAATAACACGTCACCTCAACATCAACATGTCGTCCGCACAGCCTGGAAAGGATGAGCTCGCCTACTTGCGTAGGTTCGAGGCTCAGGTGCACAACAACAAGAAAAGAGCAGAGGAGGCCAAAGAGAAGGCCGATGATGCCAAAAAGAAGACCGAGGAGGACAACAAGGCTAAAGAAGAGAAAGCCACTGAAACCTCGAAGGCCAGCAGCAGCGGCGGGACGTAGTGCAGTGGTTGGAAAACAGAGATGTCAACAAGCAAGTCAAGCAAGTCCAATCTCTTATCTGTTGCCCATCTATATTCTAATTCGACTAGCCTACCACCTCAAGTAGAACGGTCGCTCACGGGGCAAGCAATAAAAATTGCTTGTTGATATTTCCGATGGAAGGTAACGAGGCACATGGGGTGTGTATGATCGTCGAGGCATGTAATTTGTAACCAAGCTTCACTGGTTGAAGAGCTCCAAGATTACAGATTGTGGGTTTCCTTAACACATTCATTATGTCAGATCTTGTAATAATGTTTTCATACCTAATTGAACACGGATCCTGTTCCCACTTCTTGAGTAAATTTACCGTGCGTTGATACCTCTAGTATCGTTACCACCTTACGAGATTTCGAATAGCTGGCAGGGTCACCGAGAATTCGTCGCGAGGCTGCGCGGATAGAGCAACCGATAAAGCATCGCTGTGGTGTACATAAAGGGTGTATGTATCGTGTTGGCTAGCAGAGGCCACTGGTCCATGGATGCCAATGGGGCTGGAATTGATCGACATGGGTGGGGCTCAATGGCGTCACGCGTCGCGGCGCGTTCTTTCCCACACCAAGCCCGCCTTCCATACCTCACGCAGCTGTGTACACATTGCGACATCTCAGTTGATACTCTCTGGTCTTGCGATTCGCTACCCTCGGGAGACGCAACATATAGTTGGTCCGCTAATCTTTCGCCAGCTTCTCGCCGACGCGATGCTCCAATCCACGCGAAATGCTACGCGCAGGCCGTAGCAGTCTGCGTGGCGCGCCTATCACGGAACTTCGAGAGATCACGCGACCCTTGAAGCGATGAAGCCTTAGTCGTATGCCACACGACACCATATGTTATATTTGGGACAGGCTGGTCAGTCGACAGCAGCGTCCGCATACGTCAAACGCGTAATGTCCCACAACATCTGACCCGATAATGTTGCGTACCAGCTACCCTACCGGGTTGGAGATCTTCTAGCTTGACTTTTCATTCCGGGTAATGGTTCATTATTACACTGTCCTAATGTTAACGTCATAGCGCAACAGGCCCACGAATAACCTTCGGCAAACCGCGAGATACCCAAATCTCCGCCGTCTCGATCCGCGATACCCAACCGAAGCCGCTACACAAACTGGCGTATGCGATCGATATCCTCTCCGCGAGACAGTCACCTTCATGCAAATCCGCGCGATACTGCCTTGGTTACGGGCCAACGGAATGAACAAACCCATGGCTGGGCCGACCTAAGATGCACATGTTGACATCTAGGTCAAAGCATAGAGACTAGTCAATACCCATATTAGGCATCATTCTTTTAGGTCACAGCGTGCCTGCTATGCACGACATTCTCAGGGTGTCTGGACATAGATACTTCACCCAAGTGGTGTAGGGACGTGGAGGAAAAGACCAACTACACAAGCTTGAGTCAAACACCCCTATGCGCATCCGTCCAAAATCGCCAGACTACACGGCCAACGTCACCCCAGTACTCCGGCCATTGCTGCTGCATCTCGGCTTCTTTGAGGATGTGCAGACAATTTGACGCGCATCCAAAAAGAGATCAACAATACTCATCTACTATCCTTTATCGTATGTGTTTAGAGCGTGAACAAAGCCGTGACGCAACCGGTATTGCTTCACTCACCAAACTCCATCCTGATGCAGAATGACAAGTGCACGGGTTACTTGTACTAGTAAGAATGTACGCCATATCCCTGTTGCAAGGAACAAAGAGTGGCGCATTACTGTTGTTGAAGCGGATATAAAAGCGACCCTATGATGTGACAGTGATGCCTAAGTATTATCTTCAGGACATCTCACGCTGATGAGGAGCTTTTCTAAAATATGAGCGGTTGTGGACGTGCCTAAACTGACACTGGAAAGGGTCAAGAGTAGCGGTCTGCCGAAGCTTAGTAGCCTCCTGCATATCCAGCCTGAATACAATTTGGGCGCTTCTATTAATTGCTCTGATCACGCGACACCCTGTGTCAAAGTTGTGATGGCGTCGAGGTCGACCTGGTTGCTGTTTGATGAAAGATGCGTTGACAGCACTGCGAGCGCGATTTCCTCGAGAGTGATGACGTCATGGCTGTCTCATCAACCCAGCCCTGGAGGTACCTTCAACACGACAACGGCACTCTGCTTGTTCCACCTAGAGACTCACCACCGCGCTTTCAACATCCCAAAGTCGATCCGCAACGAAGCTTTATGATGCTCGGAAGGCATGAAGCGACTCGTCCTCCTCACCTGATCCCAGAACCGGGATGTGTGCAGCACTACAGCTGCCCCGATATGCGCTCTAGTGCTGAGTAGAGGTCACATGAGGTAAAAAGCGGGTAAAACGGTGAAGCAATGATTGAGCAAGTAGTTGGTATTCTTTGTGGGCTTGATTTCTGCACGCAGCCTCACGTTGGCCTTTGTCGGTTTGTTCCTTTGTTACTCATCATTGACCCCAACGGCAGAAGATATACACAAAGCAAGTACAGCGCAACATGTGCCGAAGACCCATGTTTGATGCCATAGATATGGCAAACTGTATAGAAGTTGATGGAGACTCAAGATGCGAACTCTCAATAGCTAGATGTACCCTACGAAGTCTCCTCTTGACTACACTATAGCTTCGGAAGTCATAAAACACCTCATACGGCATCATGACAAAATGACCACCGTACAAAACCGGGCAACCTTACTTTAATAGAACTTTCGAGACATGGTGTCGGACTAACCGACCAGGATGGTCAAGAGGTAAGCCTTCAAAGATGGGTATGCTGAGATGGTAGCTTACTCTATTAGACGATGTGAGATTGACCGCTCAGACCTTGTGGCATGGAGACATGGTCATTCAAAACTTTTTCCTCCGTAAGGTTGGGAAGAAGTTTAAGTATCCTATGCAGCAACAACATCAGGTGCCAGCCGCACCATGGACCCAAAATGATGTAAACTTAGCAAGGGTAACTAGGCAGCTACCTGGTGCTGCGCCTCCTGTCATTGCAGCTCCTGTTATTGCAGCTCCTGTCATTGCAGCTCCTGTCATTGCAGCTCCTGTCATTGCAGCTCCTGTCATTGCAGCTCCTGTCATTGCAGCTCCTCTGGCATCTCATCCGGCAGCTCCTCCGGCAGCTCCTCCAGTTCAACCCTACCCTTGCAGCTTTTGGCCCAACAGGCCGTGGCACGCAGATCCAGAAGACGCTTCTATCGGTCCGGAAATTACGATCGAGGCCATCAAGGATGACGTGTATGAGGAGAGCCCTAGAGCAGACTGGATGGCTACAAAGCCATTCTTTTGGCCAATCCAAGATGAGCAAAACTGGGAGAACAAGAGGTTTCTCGGCGCTGGGGCCTCTGGCTGTGCGGGATTGTGGTGTCAAAGTGATGCCCAAGGTAACATATCAAGGGTATGTGACTTCAGGCATAGGATCATTACTCGGGTTTGAGAGAGCGTGCTGACAAAGAACAGCGGATGGTTATCAAGGAAGCGAGGCCTGACAAGATCCAATGGCGTGACCTTTGCTTTTGGCGAGATCAGTTGCCGTGCGAGATCCACATGCACCAGCTAGTCGACAACGGCCGCGTGGTATCTGATAGCGACGATGAGCCCGCTGGTTCTGATCATGAAACCCTGGTCAGACATCATGGTTACCGCTTGATGATGACCCAGCGGCGTTATCGCATCCTCTTCGACTACTACGAAGGCGGCAATCTTTGGCATGCTTTAGAAAAGCACTGCACCAGAATGAAGACATTCTATACCCAAGGCGAGGAACCAGGGCTTGATCATGACTGGGATGAGGAGTTTGGTTGCTACCGTGACTCAGAAGCGGTGCCCGGCGAGGCGGGATTGTGTGAGAAGATACCCGAAGGCCTTATCTGGAGAATTGCTAGCTCGCTCGTTCAAGCGTGTCAGATCCTGCATTTCGGCCAGGTCAGTATTGGAGGTGTGCAGAACACCACACCTGAGTGGAAACCGATCAAACACTGCGATATAAGACTTGACAACATCTTCATCAAGCCAGCAGCTGAAGAGAACAAGAATGAGGTCTGTGAACAACCTCCGCAGGATACGTTGGAGATCGTGTGCGCTAACCGGCCCAGTACCCAACATTCGTCTTGGCAGACTTCGGCCTCTCGTTTACGGACATGGGTGCTCCTGCAACTGACAACCCATATGAGTATGTCAGGGAAATGACAGACGAACGATTTGCGCCTGTGAGTAACAAGGCTACAATCCGTATGTTTTTACAAAGTTCATTAGATGCAGGAACACCAGTTTGTAGTCAACGACACAGCAGAAAGCGCTGGGGTAGTACCCCTAGACGAAAAGACAGATGTATGGCAGATGTACGTACACCACCGTAGAATACCCGTTCGAATTTTACTAACTACAACCCTAGTGGTGCAGTACTTTACTCACTACTCAGCAATGGTTTCCACCCCCCTCTCGGCCAGGGGCCATGTCGCTTTGTCGAGAAACTTAACGCAACTGTACATTTCGCCGGCGAACATGGCGACCTGAGAACCATCGTCGACCCAGAGGATGACGCATGGAATAACATGTATTTCTTTCCTACTTTCAAACGTTACAGCGAGGATCTGAAGCGATTGGCGTTCGAGTGTCTGGCATGGCATTCGAGTGAACGGCCGACGTTATTGGGGATGAGGAACATGATCGATAATTTCCTGACGACGCACCCGGATGTTGCGAATGATCGGAACATGAAGTCGCTAGAGGTTGTTCGAGATTTGGAATTTGCGATTGGGGTACCTATGAATTAGACGCGGCTTTAGTCTTGGCAGATCGACGCGCGATTTTAACATATGCACACACCAATGACTATGGCAACGGCTTCACAATAACCACTGACTTATCTGTTATCCCGTGCCTGTACCCTTCTCTTTGTCCTTTCGCATCAGCCATCTCCCGGTGTCCGCATAAGTGCCGCAACAGGAAGTTTGGATCTCTTTGTTCGGCTGTTGTAGTCCTGAACGCACCTTGCCGACATAGCCTTTTGCAAACTTCGGCATTTCCTGGGAACGAGTCGAATGGCAAGTTGTTCTAGCACATCCACCAATGCCACGGAAGTCACCACCCTATAAATCCGGTCTGCCCTACTTCAAACGCGACTGCGAAGCCTACTTCCCCACTAATGCCTCGACGGTCACATGGAGCCGCGCCGAGCAAAACAACACGGTCAACACGTTATGGTATGGTAGTCGAATTATCCGCGATTACTACAACGCGCGAATCGGGCGACGAGAATTGTTTGGTCTACCAACACCAGCCCCCTTACCAGATAACCCATTCAATGCGAGCGACGTCACGTTCGCGCGCGCGAACAAGAGCATGCCGCCGTATCGTGATGGGTTGGGAGGAACGGAGCCGGCGTGGGTGAATGCTCCAGCGGGATTTGGCGCGCTTGCGATGACTGTGCCACCACCCGTTGCGGTCGTTCTTGGCCCTGTTGTAGCGCCTGCTCATGCCGTTACAGTATCGCAACCACGGCCAGTGAACCGATATCCCTTCGACTTCTGGCCACCTAAGCCGTGGGATGCGGAGCCAGATGATGCGACCTTGGGCATGACCATAAAAGCCATCAAGTCTAAAGAAGAGCCCGAGAACGGTGAAAAGTGGATGGATGATACCCATGATCCATATGGCGACGGAAGAAGGTGGATAGGCGGGAAGTTTCTAGGTGCAGGCACTTTTGGATGTGCAGGTTTGTGGTGCGCAGTAGACGACAACAACATCGTGACGGCCAGAATGGTCGTTAAAGAAGTCCGCCCACATAACTGGAAATGGCGGGATCCAGCGTATTGGAGAGATTATCTTCCGCGTGAAATTCGCATACATGAGCGTATTGACGCGAATCGACCCGCCGCTGGCGCTGATACCTCAGGCTATGATAACTTGTTGAGGCATTTAGGGTACAGATTGATGATGCAGCAGCGCCGCTTCAAACTGTACCTGGACTTCTGTGAAGGTGGCGATTTATTCCAGGGATTGAAAGAGCACTTTGACCGATGGAAAAGAGGACAAGCGACGGATAAAATTGAGCGACTCAAAGTCGTACCAGAGAGCTTGGTCTGGCATGTACTGTCGCAGCTTGTTGATGCATGCCTGGTCCTCCAAACGGGATCGAAAGATCCCGCGACAGCGGAGTCGGCTTGGCCACCAATCACGCATCTTGATATCTCGTTGAGCAACATCTTCCTGGAGCCAGCGGCTGACGATGCTTATCCAAACTGTGTCTTGAGCGACTTTGGTATGGCAATGTATGATCTGGAGCAGAGTGATCCCGCAGTGAGACCCTCAGACAACCCTCAGGAGTACGTGCTCGGCCACACCAGTTTCAAGTACCCTCCCGTAAGTCAAACCTGCTCGGTATCGAGACACCCAGAATAACTCGTGCTAATCGCATCAGGAGCAACAACTTGCACGAGGCACTCCGCCTGACTTGACACCTTTGAATGAGAAGACAGATGTTTGGAGTATCGGAGCCGCAGTCTGGTATATGATTGCGAATCGATCGGTCGCTGGTCCGCAGCGCGAACTGCATTACTCGGAGGACATGCCGCAAAACGTGAACATTGGCGAAGCGGATCATGGGCGACTAGACGAGCCCGGGGCGAAACCGTTTGAAGGTTTGGGTTTTCCGGCACTGAGTAAATACTCGGAAGAGCTGAGGTCGTTGATTGCGCGCTGCATGAACTGGGAGCAAGAGCATCGGCCAGATCTAGCAACATTGAGGGCCAAGATCAATGCGTATCTGGCAAGCCACCCGAAAGTAAGGGATAGCAGGGACTTTGGGCCGCTGAGAATGTCGAACCTCGAACGAGGGCTGGGAATTGGAGATACATTTGCAAGGAAGAGGAGGAAACCGATCGCAGGAAAGCAACCCCGTAAAAAGCAAAAGGGAGACGAAGAGGACAGTGAAGAGTAGCTCGAAGTCGTTGAATGCGAGTTTCGCTCTAAATGACTCGGTCGTCCAGCGGGACTAGGCTTTCTTTCGCAGGCGAACTTGGAGTGTTTTCGATAGCACTTTGTCCATCTTCCCTTTGCCGGCGCTTTCCAGGCGCGGGGGGG